AGGTTGTTGTCCTTGGTCATGGCGCGCTCGCCTTCGAAGACCTGGATGAGCACACCAGGCTGATTATCAGCGTAGGTGGTGAACGTCTGCGAGGTCTTGGTGGGAATGATGGTGTTACGCTTGATCAGAGCAGTCATCACACCGCCAGCGGTCTCGATACCTAAACAATCAAATAAGATTAGGCCAATATCATATAAAATGAGAAGCTGCTGGAAAAAAAATTACCGAGCGACAGCGGGATAACGTCGTGAAGAAGCATGTCCTGGATGGCCTCGGACTTGTCTCCGGAGAGGATGGCGGCCAGGATGGTAGCACCGTGTGTAGCAGGCTCGTCGGCGTCGATCGACGTGTTCAGCTCCTTGCCTGAGAAAAAGTCGGACAACAACTTCTGGACCTTGGGGATACGGGTTGATCCTCCGACGAGGACGATGTCGTGGACGGACGACTTGTCCATTTTGGCGTCACGGAGAGACTTCTCGACGGGGTCCATGGTAGAGCGGAAGAGATCGGCGCACAGCTCCTCGAAACGGGCACGAGTGATGTTGGTGTAGAAGTCGATACCCTCGTAGAGAGAATCGATCTCGATCGAGGCCTGAAAAAAACTATAGAGACGAAAGACAAAATAAAAAACAGAAAAGGCTATTAAATTTACCTGCGACGACGAAGAGAGGGTCCTCTTAGCGCGCTCGCAAGCAGTGCGCAGACGGCGGAGAGCGCTGGCATTCGAGGCAAGGTCCTTCTTGTGCTTGCGCTTGAACTCGGCGATGAAGTGGTTGACCATGCGGTTGTCGAAGTCTTCTCCTCCAAGATGAGTGTCTCCAGCAGTCGACTTGACTTCGAAGATTCCGTCCCCAATGGTGAGGATGGACACATCGACGGTTCCGCCGCCAACATCGAAGATCAGGAGGTTGCGCTCGCCGCTGGCCTTCTTGTCAAGTCCGTAGGCGACGGCAGCGGCGGTCGACCCGCTGATTAGCCTGAACACATTGAGGCCTGCGATGGCTCCAGCATCCTTGGTGGCTTGACGCTGAGAGTCGTTGAAGTAGGCTGGGACAGTGACGACCGCATCTTTGACGGTTGATCCAAGGAAGGCCTCGGCAGTCTCCTAAAACACCTATGATCTGCCATCGAAGTCGACTATACCTTCAACTTGATGAGAACCATGGAGGAGATCTCTTCGGGCGTGAAGGTCTTGGTCTCGCCCTTGTAGTCGACCTCGATCTTGGGCTTTCCGCCTTCAGCAGAGACGACCTTGAAGGGCCAGTGCTTCATGTCGGATTGGACGGCAGAGTCTCGAACTTGCGGCCAATCAATCGCTTGGCGTCTAACACAAAGTAAAGATAAATTAATTGAATCCTTACCGAAGACTGTGTTGCTCGGATTCGAGTCAAGCTGGTTCTGGGCTTCATGTCCAAACAGCCGTCCAGTTTCGGTGAAGGCAACATAGGAGGGTGTGGTGCGGTTTCCTAAAACAGATACTGGAAGTTTACGACGGACAAAGCAAAACCATCCACTAGCCGAAACCAGAGAGATTTCAATCTTAAACTCTAGTAATGGAATTGTGGAATGTTTACCTTGATCGTCGGTGATGATCTCCACCTTGCCGTGCCGGAAGATGCCAACCCGCGAGTTGCAAGTGCCGAGATCGATTCCAACGGCATTGTACTTCTGCTTCCCAAGCATTGCTCTCTTCTATTTCTATAAATGAATCGTTTCTATAAAAGGGTTGGGTAGGACGAATGAATGAAATCGAATAAACGCGAATGGAATTGCAAAGAGACAATTTGGGATTATGCCGTCTTGAGATATGAAATATTACATGAAATATTAGGTTAAGTGTAGTAGTACTATACTATAACCAACCAGTTATAAAAGTTATAATTAAAGCGACACCGTTAATGCAAAACACGTAAATAACTTCTTTTTGTACGAATACCCTCTACCGAGGATAAAAACACCGCGGACGAGCGGCGGACAGCCGGTGAAAATTTTCATTTCGGGGACTAGCTAAAATATAAAAAAAAGTTTATTCCATTCGAGGGGATCGAATGGAAAAGTCCGTTCGTGCGAAATCCTTGATAAAATCTCGCATCAAATTTTACCTTCGCAGTGCATTTTTTAGATTCCAACCTAAATAATTTCTAGAAAAGAAACTTTCTAGACCCCAACTTTTTAGAACCGCGGAGCGAGGATGATGATTTTAACTATGCGAATGCGGTGCTTTTGTGGTTCTGTGTAAATAACAGCAGTCGAACTTTTTATGTACAAAGTATTTTAACGTTTGCTTTCGCCTGTTGTAAACATATTAAAGCTTGGCTTGGTGAACGCCCAAGACTTCGCCGATTCGGTCCATGGCCCAGGCGATATTTTTCGTGTATTCATCCAAATTCGATGCTCCGGATGTGAAATTGGAAGCCGTCAGTAGCATCCTAAAATTTATCGAGAAGTTTTCGCTCGTTTTTCATGCTTACCCATCATCATGGATCCGGTAGAAGCTGCCGTAGCCATCCGGACACATTGCACTTACATACCCATAACTTCCAAACTTATCATAACCAATAAAACTGCAAAAATATTAGAATCTGCATAAAATAAGTCGATATACCTTGTCGATAGTTTAAAATTCCCATCACCGCCCGAGTGTTTCCAGGCTTTATCTTGGAATATTTTTGGTTCGCCTCTTTTCGGGTTGCACGAGCCCTTATTCATGCTTTCAAGCGTTTTTCGAAGTCCATAAAGGTGGCGATCACATCCTAAACTTTCTATTTCCTAAAAATGCCCCTTTTTACCGTTCCCCTCCATCGCCTCGGCCATCAATCTGTTATGGGCGTCGTAGGCGGCTTTGAAAAGGTGCCGCAACTCGTCGACCTGCAGGGTGCACTTTGGGATAGGCCCCTCCTCGCTCCCTCTCCCCGCCGCCGCCATAGCTCAGTTGGTTAGAGCGTGGGTCTAATAAGCCCAAGGTCGCAGGTTCGACCCCTGCTGGCGGCAAATTTTTGCTTTTTGGGGGTTGACCCTGGCCCGGCTTCTTTGAACTTTACGAAGGCGATTTCCGAAGATTTTTTAGAAGAACTGACTACATAGCTGCTTTTTTCGGGTAGTTTACAGAAAATCCATACCGGTCTGCTCTCCAATAACGCGTTAATAAAAGCCACCGCTTCGGGCGTTCGGCTCCTTATCGTTTCCGTTCTACCAAGGTAGAATTTTCGCGTACTGGCCGTTTCGTAGATCGGGGCGTAGCTGGAAATCAAGCCGGTCAGATGTGCTATTTAGAATCGAGCTACCTTCCATGAACTCTCCTAAAAGCGATCTGCATGGCTAATTGTATGACGGTATCCATGTAAATTTGCATCTTCTTTAACTGGTCATTGCCGTAGCCATTATACCGTAGCACACGGACCCCGATTTGTGCCTTCTAAAATCGGTATTAAGCTTTATTTGTGTTTATTATTCAGTTTCTAAAATTAGCTAAAGCCGCCATACATGCTTGTAAAAATTCTTTTCGGCTTCTTCTATCGCTTTTTCGACAGTTTTGTCCAAATTCAAAATTGATGAGGGTGGGTTTTTCAAAATCGGCATTATCCTGAAATGTAAAATCGGTATAATCCATGACGCTTAAGCACCATAACCTAATTAAAAAGTTCAAATAGCACAAAATTAATTACATTTGGTGTCCAGACATGATGCCGAATTTTCCGGCCCGATATATTTCCAGCATCCAGCACGACGATAGCGTCAACATTTGAGTGCTGAATTGGGATTTTGTTAACTTTAGAGCGTGTCGTTTTTTAGTGGTTTTAACTTATGCTCTTACATCAGCCTGCGTCGTAATTTGCCCATCTTTCATTATCGAAATATTCATATTCTTATCGGCCCATTGGCCGTCCGGCTGGCCCATCATCGAATATACCAGCAGCTATAATCAAAAAATTAATTCTATCGCTCTCTCTCCTCCTCTCTCTCTCTCTCTCTCAACCTCATTTTCCTCCAGAATCTCATCGTCCGTCAGTACCACAGCAAAAATGGACGACTCGATTTTTAGCAAATTTTCGGCATTTTTGGAGGATAGTTTTTGAAGGTGGGTGCGCATCTAGAAACACTAATTTAACAAATTGTACAATGTAAGATACGTAAGATGTAGATTCAACTTAACAAAAGGACTTTTAAACCCTACATCAGCCCAAGTATCACGATGCTCTGTCGTTAGTGTCGCAACGGAATGGCGTACTTTTGTGGAATTATTTCTGACGAATTCAAAAGCTCCTAAAATGGGAGCGCATTTAAAATAATTTGTGGCTTACTGTACAATTCGTCAACAGATTTTAGAGCGCCGTTTTTCATGACATCCAGCTCCCAGATATTCCCTCGACAAAGAATGACAATATGAGACGGACAGGCGCCTTGTTCTTCTGAAAATATTCGAAAAATCGTTAAAAAATTTCTACCGTACCCGTCTTGAAATAGCGTGCCATTTGATCTTTGGGGCGTTGCGGGACACGGGCCGCGTTGAACAGGCATAAATTTTGATTCATGTCCCAGATGACGCCTCGGCTTTTCATTACCGGATAGGTTTGCCTGAAGTTGGAGTAGGCTTAGGCTTTGGCTTAGGCTTCTATTTATCCTTAGGTTAGGCTTTGGGGCTTAGGCGCGGGCTTGGCTTACGTAAGGCTTAGAAATCGCTTCGGCATCAGCTTAAAAGGTTTAGGTTGACCTTAGCCCTAGGCTTAGCTTGTGCTTGAGCTTACAAGCACTGTTAGGCCTGGCCTTGGGCATAGGCTTACTTTAGGCTTGAGTTTAGGCAAAAGCTTTGGCATGTGCGTGGGCCAGAAAATTGTTCCAACCTACTTTCTCAAGCTCTCCCACACCTTTAACATATGGTAGATGGAATCGGCCGCTCGACAAATTTGCGAGCCAATGGCCCTCGGAGCTCTTGGCTGTAAAATTCTAAAAGTTGCGAAAACTACAGTGACCCACCTGGATACTTGCCAGGGACAGGTAAGGAACAAGAGGCCCCCGAATTTCACAATAAGCATCGTACCACCAGTCATCGAGCTGAAATATATCGATGTTCGCCAGGCTTCCGGGTCCTTTCCAAATGTTAGACTACGATACCTGCTAAAAAGTACAGTAGTACGTCTACGGTCTATTCATGGTTTTCCAAAGAGCTTACCCAACTATCCAATTGATCCTTTCGGGCCACCAACGCCTGCTGCAGCTGACCGGCCAGCGGACTGGAACGGAACTCCTCGACCGCCTTTTCCGTTTCTTTCCGGTCTTTTTCAGGAAGTTCGACAAGTGCTAAAGGATCAATCAAAAGAATTTGGTTTCAAGCTCTACTTTACCTGATTTTAAATACTTCTTGAGGGTAGCGTCGAGCTCGGGCACTCCAAGTTTCGGTAAGGAATTTTGGTATTGAAACGTTTTTTCCTGAGGTTTGTCTGCCATTTTTAAGCCTAAAAATCATAGATTCATTAAAAACGAGCTATCAGCTAAATAGGAAAAACACGGTCCGTTTATAACAAGACAAAAACGGCAGATAGAAAGTAATTTTAAAGGGCTAAAAGTAAATTGACGGCAAAAAGCGAGAGGCTTACGGTAGGAAAAGAAACTAAAACGCGTAGTTCACCGGTGAACTAAGTAGTTCTCACAGAATCGTCAGAGCAGAAAAGAGTTTAATGCGCCTAAAAACGTTTTTGAAAGCCTTCCGGTCTCCCAGTGCAAACTCCGGTCAAAAACGTGCAAATTACCGGCCTCTACCCACCCCCCACGTGCTAATACAGCTGTGATTAGGCTACAGGCTACAACCGTTGATGTCTTATCATTTCGGGGAGGGTGACCTAGTCCAAAGGTCGATCGGCAAGACGATTTTGAATCAGTTTAGCAGCGATCGAAAGCGAGCCAGGGCTTGAAAAAATAGCTTTACAAACAGTATTAATTTTACGAATATGATATGAATAAATTGGGAATTAAATACGAACCAGGGTTGAAAAGCCGCTTCGCGACTTTTCAACCCTGGCCCCGTCCGACCCCGTTTTATCCTTCAATTTGCATAATTTTTCTGAATTCAGATGACCAAAAAATGAAAATGATTCGCTTGTGACCCTTTATATAGGCGACTTCCTACTTCCGGTCTATGTAGATTTTTCCTAGCGAAGAGGGTTTTACAAAATCTTAAATTTAATGTCGAAAATAAGTGATTTTGTTAAATCTGATATGCGTGCAGTCATCTCCAGGCCATTACGCATCTAATGACGTATCATACATACCTTAAAATTCATCCCCTATCGAGATATCCTCCGGACAGACATCCGGAAGTGGATGCAAAGTGGCACACACAGACACACACACACACAGACACTATTTTTTTATACATAGTAGGATAAATTATAAACTACAGCTATGTAAAAATCGTATAAATGCGTAGTACACTACACCAGGCCAGACCTGATAAGCTCGGGTACAAAGCGAAGCCAAGCCGCTTATCTTTCCTTGCAAAACAAGCGGCTCCAACGTTGCACACCTAATGCCAAAGTTTCCGAGGGATACGGCAATTACGGGTATATAAAAAAATTTGAAGGCGTTCAAATTAACTGAACGCCCCTTGGAAACTAGCGAAGGAACGAAGGCAGAAAATTCGAAATGCCCAGATCACGAAGCTCTGAATTTGCAAAATTTCCTTTGCATAAAATTTTGCAAGCAAAACCATAAATTACCCAATGACACTACAAAATGCCGCGCCTCCTTTGGCTGCTCCTACTCGTCGCTCAGCTTGGCGCCATTCAGAATCATACTGGACTTACGGTAAGGCTTTGGACAGAATCAGAACAGCTTCGACGAAAATCGACAATTTCCCACGGCATCGGTGAATTTCTAAATTCAGAATTCATCGCTGAATTCGACCAGAAACACCGATGAATTCGGCGCAGGCGAAGAAGCGTTTGAAGCGGCCGATTCCCCGCTCGATCAGCTGATGCGAGGAGCTATTTTTAGATTGAAAAGGGGTAACGTAGACCTGTAAAAATCGACACCATGAAGAATCGACAGGAAACAACAAGACCACACAATCCATGTTTTCAGATCCTACCTCTTCAGGAACATTTTCTGCCAATTCTCGGCCTCTTCCCTGCTGTGTGCGTGTGCCGTCATTAGTGTCCTCAGCTTCCATGATCGTATTGGTAATACTATTCCAAAAATATCGACACTAATAATGACAGCAATAAAAATACCGATAGGCCAAAATCCCGACAGACCGACATACCGACAGCCAGAAATTCCGGTGAGTTTGCTTTACCCCCCCACAGCTGAAGGGTCTCCGGATTAATCGGTATTTTCGCTTATTTTGTCGGGTTTGCAGCTATTCGATAGAGCGTCAGAAAATATACTAAATTTTAATTTGGCCAAAGTTTCCGAGGGATACGGCAATTACGGGTATATAAAAAAATTTGAAGGCGTTCAAATTAACTGAACGCCCCTTGGAAACTAGCGAAGGAACGAAGGCAGAAAATTCGAAATCGCCCAGATCACAAAGCCTCTGAATTTGCAAAATTTTCCTTTGCATAAAATTTTGCAAGCAAAACCATAAATTACCCAATGACACTACAAAATGCCGCGCCTCCTTTGGCTGCTCCTACTCGTCGCTCAGCTTGGCGCCATTCAGAATCATACTGGACTTACGGTAAGGCTTTGGACAGAATCAGAACAGCTTCGACGAAAATCGACAATTTCCCACGGCATCGGTGAATTTCTAAATTCAGAATTCATCGCTGAATTCGACCAGAAACACCGATGAATTCGGCGCAGGCGAAGAAGCGTTTGAAGCGGCCGATTCCCGGCTCGATCAGCTTGATGCGAGGCTATTTTGGATTGAAAAGGTAACGTAGACCTGTAAAAATCGACCACCATGAAAAAGCGACAGAAAAAACAAGAACACACAATCTCATTTTCCAGATCTACCTCTTCGTTTTTCTGGCAATTCTCGGCCTCACCCTGCTGTGTGCGTGTGCCGTCATTGGTGTCCTCGGCTACATGATCATGTTAGTAATACTATTCAAAAAATATCAACACTGATAATGACGGCAGCAAAAATACCGATAGGCCAAAATCCCGACAGACCGACATACCGACAGCCGAAATTCCGGTAAGAGCTACTTTACCCCCCCCACAGCCGAAGGGCCTCAAAGTTGTCGGTATTTCGCTTATTTTGTCGGGATTTTTGCAACGCTATTCGATAGAGCGTCGAAAAATATACTAAGAATTTTAATTTGAGCCTAGAATAATGTAAAATAAAAAAGTTATAGCCAAAAACTTCCGGCTGGGGGGTAAAGTAAACCGTAGCCGAAATTCCGATTTCCAAACGCCATACAGCTTAAATAGCGACAGCCAGGGGCGTACACGAACCCGATTTTTGGGGGGGGGGCAACTCGAAGATTTTTTGTCGACCTTTTTGTTGCCGACAGCCAGAATCCGGCAGGAAAGATCCCGACAACTATAATCCCGACAGTCAAAATCCCGTGAGCAAAATCCCGACAGCGAAAATGCCGAAGTCCAGGGCGGCGGTTTAAAAGGAAGTGAAGTCGATTAGCTTCAACAATATGTCGGAATTTTGGCTGTCGGGATCTTCGCCTGTCAGGATTTGAACTGTCGGCATTATGGCTGGATGTCCAAAATTTAGCAAGCTGCAAAGAGCCCTCAAATCCACGACAATCCCAAAATCCCGGGACACCGCCGGGCCGCTGAGTTCGGATGTGGAGAGCGTCGCTCTTGAAGGTGATATCAGGTTTTCGCAGTATTAGAGGGATTTGAAAGTATATATTGGTCTATTTGCTAGATATACAGAAAATTAAAAATTTATATACGTTTAGCACTCCACCATCAAGGAAGCCAAGGTGCTCGAAGGCTACAAAGGAGCGGCATAACAAGCCAAGTCGCGTCGACTCTGTCATTTCGCGGGATGCCGCTACGAGTACCAAAGCGAAGCCAGTGAAGTCGGCAATCTTGATGAAGCCGATGAAGCCTCTGAAGCCAGCTAAAGGTGGACAGGTATGTGCGAGTGAGAGAGGGGGGGGGGGGAGAGAGAGAGAGAGAGAGTAATTTTTACATTCCAGCGTAACGCCTCGACGAGCACAAGCTGTTCGAAGATTGAAAAATACGAGATTGTGGGATTACTTGAATTCTTTAGCAAATAATTAAATTACAGGAGGACATCTACGTCGACATGTCGATCGGTGGCCCGCGGAAGCAGAAAAAAGACGCGTCCGCATCCCAGCCCGCCACCTCCGCCCGGTCCCATGAAGGTCACTTTTCACCTCACTTTCCTTACAAGAAATACATTCCTTGGAAATCAATAGCGTTTTTAGTGTACTTTAAGATATTTTCGGTGGTTTTATTATTAAAAAGTGCGTTAAATTTTAGCCATTTTGAAGGAGTGCTTTTTTACTATTTGCCTAATTTTTCCTAAGCTTTTATCAATTTTATAACTCAACTAAACACGGCTTAAAAAGCTGTTAAATTGATAGTTAGATAGTATACTTTAATAAATAATAAACAATATAAGTAAACTGGCCTAAAAACATGTTAGAATCATAATTTAAAATCTATTTAAATAGAGACCTTACGAGAACGATCAATCTTATTTTAGTGTCACGCCGCCACGAGCACCGAGCACGCCATCCTCTGGGGCTCTGAGCTGGGCACCAATTCGGTGCGGATCTTCCGCGAGACTTTTTTTATACAGCAATTTTAAGTGTCGCGACTAGGACGACAAGTGCGACAAAGAAGCCATCGGAATATTTACCAACTGACGCTTCCTCTACAATTCCCACACGCACAATGAAATACTTGAAGAGACGATTCGATTTCTTGGATAGTTGTTGTAGACTGAAGTTGAATAAATTTTTGGGAACGCAATTTGCATTTTTTAGGATTGAGTTTATACAAAGTCGGAGCTTCCCTTTTCTCGGTTACCCTCAAAATGCAGCGCCTTCTGTGGCTGTTCTTCTTCATCTCCTGCCACATCGTGGTCAGCCAGGGCAGCCAGGCCGGGAATACGGTAATTTTCGCTTAACCTCAAAGCTTGGAAATTTTGGCGGCAGTGGGCTGTTAGCGGGGGGAGGGCGAAGAAATTGTTCTCCAATAATTTTGTGCGATGCTGTAACGAAATTGAAATGATTTTACAGTATATTTTACAGTATTTTACAGCATTTTACAATGTTTCTAAATGGTAGAACACCCTGACAATCTCAAAAATTTAGAAAATTTTTGATGTTTTAGGCAAGGTGTATGTGAAAAATTACCAAAAAAGGCCGAAAGTATACCAAAATAACGTAGACCAACCTGGGGGGAACCTGCAGTTTAGCCAAGTTTACCCTAACCCTCGCCCCAACTAGCCTCTTACCAACATGTTTTTAGCCCTCAAACGAACCCGTCGCGAAGACGAACACCTCGTCGGCTCCAGTCTCGGATTCGACGGCCGCGAGCAGCTCAAACGACGAGCCACCTGAAGGGGACGGCTCTGAGCTGGACGGCCGTGTGCAGCAGCTTGACGCCCGTTTCTGGCAGCTCGAAAAAGTACGAAATTTCGATCCATTCCCTATTTTTCTGCTTTTAGCGCCTCAACAAATCGGTGCACGCCTCCGCCGTCTTGGAGGAGCTCAAGCAGGATACGGTAGCTGGCGTCAAAATACACTAGATAACTTCAGACAAACCAGACATTGCTCAAAACAAGTAGAAAATGTTGTCATATGCGTCGAAAAAAATAAATTTTTCGACCTAAAATGGTCTTCCTAAAAAAATTGTAAGGTTTTAATAATAGGGCTGAACTCCAGATACCCCCCCCCTACCGTATCTCGGCTCGCGGTTTATGGGCAGGTGTGTCAAATTACACCAAAATACTCGCCAGAGCAAGACGAACATTTTGGTATACTTTACACACCTGTAGACGAATAGGACAGCGTCCTTTCGTCCTTTACACACCTGTAGACGAAAAAGACGAATTTTTAGTATCTTACCCATAATATTTTTAAGAAAGTCAGTTCAAAGCAATTTACTCCGAAAGAGCCAATTTTTCGCAATTTGAAGCCCCGCTTTTCAGTTGTTCTTGATCGGTTCCATCGGCGTGTTCGGCGCGGCCATCTTATGCCTGTGCTTGTCGACTTGTGTGCTTGGCTGTCAGGTGATGTAGGGGAAATTCGAGTCACTGTGGAAGATGCTCAATTTAGCAAACTGCAAAAAGCGATCAAGCCGACGGTGGCGAAAGAGCCGAGCGTGAGCCCAAGCCCGAAAGTGCCGCCGGTGGTGAATGATGTGGAGAGCGTCGCTTCGAAGGTATCAAAATCGGAGTTTTGCTTTATACGTGTTAGAAAACGCCAAAATCGAGCCCTTATTACCACCATGACGACGCATATCTGTCGAGATCTAGTCAAAATTAGGGGTCGAGGCTACGGTTTACTTTACCCCCCAGCCGGAAGTTTTTGGCTATAACTTTTTTATTTTACATTATTGTAGGCTCAAATTAAAACTCTTAGTATATTTTTCGACGCTCTATCGAATGGCGTTGCAAAAATCTCGACAAAATAAGCGAAAATACCGAAAGCTTTGAGACCCTTCGGCGGTGGGGGTAAAGTAAACTCTTACCGGGGTCGACTTTAACGCTGTACAGTCGTCCCTTTAAAGCTACTCAGAAGCCTGAACAGGTTACAACAGCATAATGCCGACAAAACAAATTTCGATAGGCCAAAACACCGACAAACCATAATGCTGTCAGCCAAAATGCCGACATTCAAAATCTTGAATTGCAGGCAGAAAGTATTAATTCGAGCGTTTTTGTGTCGGTTTTTTGACTCTTCGAATTTGGGCTTGTCGGCATATCTCTGCCTAGATTTTGGACTATCGAGATTTTAGATTCCATTCCCTTTCAGCGCGATTCCACGACGAGCACCGCCGATGGGCACAGACTTTCGAAGCAGGAGACCCTCGAGAAAGAGGTATTTTATCAACAAAATCTATTTTTTTTAATTTTCCAGGGCAACGACGGCCACTACGAGGATTGTTCCTTCAGCAAGCCGGTCACGCCAAAGGTAGAAAAAAAGATGAAATTTTTAATAAATTTAACGCTTTTTTCAGCACACCGAAGCCTAGAAGATACTCGTTCACCCCCCGAGCGGCAATTGGGAAAAATTCGACCAAAAATCTGAACACGTTTCCAAATTCCGAACTATCGCTTGTAAACTGCGTGGTTTTCGGACCTGAATAAATGTTTTTGCATGGGATATCTTATGTTTTGCTTGCGATGATCGGGCACCGACTGTACACGATTTGACTGCAAATAATTTACATAAAGCCGCAATTTTGCTGTCACGACCCGGAAAGAATTCGGGTCATGGCGTAAGAATGCTGCGCATCGTCTGGCTGCTGCTGTTCCTCGGCGTCGCCACGCTCGCCGAGGTCGCTGTCGAGGCTCGCGTCACCGACCTTGAAAATAAGACAAAGGTTCGGTAATTTTGCTAGCATAACACTTAGGAAGGCTCAAGTCTAGGAAACCCCCCAGCCGTAACTTTACAGCCATACATCCTTTTGATGCGCCGAGAATCTCAAAATTTTCCTTGGAATATTTCGAAAAGTTGTTTTTCGACACAAATAAATTATTTAATTTTATTTTTTTTTTTCCTAACAAAAAAGGGAAAAAAAAAAGGGGGGGAAAAATAAAAAATTTGTTTTCTTACATCAAAAATGTTAGAAAAATTTTTATAACAATTTTAAGTTTGGTTCTTTTTGTTTAATTTTTTTTGTGAAATGGGTTTTCGTATCTGCTATTTTTTGTAACGGTGGGCCAAAATGTAGCTCTTGCTCTGGAGAATAAGCCTACGGAGTCCGTTTGAAAAAAAAAGCGGAAAATAAAAATATTTGAGTTTTAGACTCTAGTACATCGAAGCATAGCGGCTAATATCAACTTTCAAAATCCTTGGTAAAAAAATTTTAACGGCAATATTTGCGGCGAGAAAAAAAAAGAGGTTGAAAAAGTAGGGCTGGGGATAAACTGCACTCTAACAAAAATTTTAAAACAATAAAAATCCTGGTTTTTCTTTAATTAATTTTTCCTGGTCTAAAGTGAGTTTGTCTTTCGTTACCTTTTGACGAGCGTGTCAATGGTACCAAAATGTAGCTCTTGCTCTGGAGAATAAGCCTACAGTACGTTTGAGTCGAAAAAATAGCAAAAAATATTTGAGTTTAGGACTCCTCATATATATCGAAGATAGCGGCCTAATCTTTTCAACTTTGAAAATAATGTAAAAAATTTTCTACCAATTTTTGCCGCAAGGAAACAACTTTTTTGAGAACAATTAAATTGACCACGGCCAGCATTTTGAGCTACTCGGCGCATTAATAGGACGTATGGCTGAAAAGTTACGGCTGTGGGGGGTTTCCTAGACTCTTACCCTTAGGAATTATCTATATACCTAAAACTATCGAAACAAGCTGAAAAATTGAAAATTTTGGTCAAAAAGCCTGTATTTTTGTACTTTTTTAACAAAAATTTGTAAAATTGCGCTTAGGAATAGTAAAAAGGGGATTAGAAACTCGTCCTATGTTCATATTCAGGAAATGGGATAGTAAGAAAAATTGGTTTTATCGTCTGATACCCCCTCCCCCCGATAACGCGAAAGAGCCGAAAATAGGTAAAATGGTTCGCTTTCGACTGCATCGCCCGAAGCACCTCCTCTTTTCAGCTCTTCTCAAACGATGAGTTCACCAAGCTGAAGATTGGCATGGGACAGCTGGGGGAGACTACGGTAGGCGGGGCACGATTCAGAGATTTGATCATGCCACCTTTTAGCAAAGCGTCTTCATCGGCGTTTGCGTGCTGGGCGGCGTCGCCGTGTTCTTCTTGTGCTGGCTCATCTTCCTCTGTCTGGCTGTTATGTAGGTCTTTGACACGGTGTTGGTACTGGACTGTTAACGGGGAGGGGTTTCGTAGCAAAACGCTAATTTATTTTCCTATTATTCCCGACCCGTTAATACGTAAATACGTTAATACAGACTGCTGGTCCCCCTTACTCTCCCATCTTTTTCAGGGGTATGAACAAGTCGATCACGCTGCTGCAAAGCCAAATTAACGACGTGGGCGGCGGGGGTGGCGGCGGGACGACGATGGCTGCGAGTGTGATGATTCCTGGGGTATGTTGCCCATTAAAAGCTGAAGAGTGAATTCGTTTTGTTAAGGCCAGCCCAACAAAGTCAAAATCGTCCGACTCGCCGGGTGGCCGCGACCAGACGGAGCGCCCGAAGCTCGACCTGAAGGTGTGAACAATTATTCGCGCTTGATAAAGCTAATTCTTAATCACACCAATTTAAAGGGACCGGCAAGTCATCGCTCAGGGTTTTTTGTGGTGTGAATTGGGAATCCAGAGCAGTAAAATCTATGCATTTGCCTTGCTCGTCCCTTTCAAGGAGGCCAGAATCCAAAAAAAAAAAGATTTTTTTAGAAACCCGTCGAGCCGGCCTTTTCGCAGACGGACGGAGCCCCGGTCTCGCAACATTTGGGCCCGAAATAGAGCCGAGCCGGCCCCAGCTACTCGTCCCTACCGTACGCCAACAATTCCGATAGTTCCTATTCACAAGATGTTTCCCCGCGCTTTCCCATTGTTCCCATTTTCCTTTCCGGTGTCGTGTAATGGAATAAAGATTTTGTAAAAACCGTATCTTCTTGATTATTGCTTGGTTTCCGCAATAAAAAAGGCAAGTCTGAAATGGGAAACGGACGTCAAAACGAGAAAATTAGGGTAGGGTGGCCGGACGACCCTAATTCCCAAAAAGCAAAAAGATTCTTCCGTTGCGGGGAATCGAACCCCGGCCTTATGGGTGAGAGCCATAAATCCTAACCACTAGACCACAACGGAGGATGGGGGTGTGGTAGGGCGGAGGGGGCTAACCGGTAGGGGGCACCCCCGCCGGCGTGTCACACAGGGCCGCCACGACAGCCAAGGCGCCGTTCAAATTCAGTCTGTTTCCATTACGTATCAGTGATTTTGCCTTGGCAACAACAGGCTCGTTGCGCCAATCAGCGGTCCGAGAAGCTGAATGAGTTCATATTATCAGGCACCGAAATTGGCCCGAACAGCCCGTATTGGATCCCACCTGGGAAAACACGGGGGCCGGTGCTCGAATTAACGATAACATTTTGAAAATTATAATTGCAAAAGGGTCAATCAACAATGTCAAAAATAGAGTGTGGTCTTCAATAGCTCCCTTCCAGTTTTCGCTTCCATAAGATCTCTTTACGCCGGAAAAAGTCTTCCAAATATTACAGAATTTCCACAAAAGTTTTTTCTAGTTCTTTTGCTTCTTTTTCGACTTCAATATAGTTAAAGTTTACTAACAATGAGGCGCTATTAAAATGACTTACTACAGACTTCATTATTAGGCATTTCCTGTCTTAGGTCTGCCCCTTTGCCGCTAATTTTAAAGAACTTTTTCGCGATCGGTTTCACTGAACAAGGCGCAGTCTACGACACCGAACAAATTGTTCCGCTAGCGCTAGCATGCCATGATATCCTAGCCCACGATTCTAATTAGCTTAGCGCTTGTTAGGCGCCGGTACAATGCGCGGATCCGTGTGAATTTCCGACGTTCCCGTACCGTCAGCATTATAAAAATGCCTGAGATTCCCAGATCGTGTTTCACAGGAAGTAGTCGAGCACAAACTTTAGACATCCCGACTCACGAGGAGTGCTTTTTTGAGTCATCGGCAAAACCTTACGAGACCTAGCTCATTCAATAGAGAATTCGGTTCTGAACAAAACCCCGTTGTACTTTTTTGCGGAATGGCTATCCCTGATTTTATAAAATTAAAATACTAGTGACCGTCTCTTACCGAGCGCCTTTCGAGCAAAAAGATAGGCTTTTGGATGCAGTTTTAAAATTTTATAAAATCAGGGATAGCCATTCTGCAAAAAAGAACAACGGGGTTTTGTTCAGAATCGAATTCTCTATCGAATGAGCTAGGTCTCGTAAGGTTTTGCCAATGACTCAAAAAAAAAGCATTCCTTGTCAGATCGGTCGGGATTAGGGACTTGTAATTCCACGTTATTTGGTTTGGCACGTTTTAGGCGATTTCCGAGTACCCCATTCGCCGGGAAACCCCCAAAAATAATGGGTTTAATGTTAGTCCACCCCAATTTTATGGGAACAAAGTCGAACTTGTGATTGTCGTTGTTCGAATTCAGGTAAAAATTTGTATGCATATCTACTATATATAAATTTCTAATGTCCGTGCGCCCGACGTCCGACCGCGACCGGGAATTCAACGTGCCCCCAGGGCATGTCCCGGGGAGAGGGGGACGTTCGCGCATTAATGGTAGCAGAAATCCTCAAACAAAAGAATAATTGTTTCGCAACGGTTTTTATTGGTTTTTTTAGTATTAAAAAGGGGAAATAACTTTCTTTCAAGGGTATTCTAACCATTACGCGATTCTTAGAAGTTTTTTTAGTATCTAAGAAGGGGAAATAACTTTCTTTCAAGGGTATTCTAGCCATTACGCGTTTCTTAGAAGTTTTTTAGTATCTAAGAAGGGGAAATAACTTTCTTTCAAGGGTATTCAGCCATTACGCGTTTCTTAGATGTTTTTTAGTATCTAAGAAGGGGAAATAACTTTCTTTCAAGGGTATTCAGCCATTACGCGTTTCTTAGAAGTTTTTTAGTATCTAAGAAGGGGAAATAACTTTCTTTCAAGGGTATTCTAGCCATTACGCGTTTCTTAGATGTTTTTTAGTAACTAAGAAGGGGAAATAACTGTCTTTCAAGGGTATTCTAGCCATTACGCGTTTCTTAGATGTTTTTTAGTAACTAAGAAGGGGAAATAACTGTCTTTCAAGGGTATTCTAGCCATTACGCGTTTCTTAGATGTTTTTTTAGTAACTAAGAAGGGGAAATAACTGTCTTTCAAGGGTATTCTAGCCATTACGCGTTTCTTAGATGTTTTTTAGTAACTAAGAAGGGGAAATAACTGTCTTTCAAGGGTATTCTAGCCATTACGCGTTTCTTAGATGTTTTTTTTAGTATCTAAGAAGGGGAAATAACTTTCTTTCAAGGGTATTCTAGCCATTACGCGTTTCTTAGATGTTTTTTAGTAACCAAG